CCCCCCCCCCATTGGACTCCTGGAGCTCTACCTGGGGCTCAGCCATGGATCTCAGCATCCGCTTCCATCGGACACTGGATGAGAGTTCTATCATGACAGCCAGGGTGTTTGGCCATCCGATCACCAGACTAAGTCAGCTCAGGCACTCCCTCAACCATTGCCAGCAGTCTATAGTGGAGGTATCTTTGTGGATTTCTGGGGACCTCTCCAGAACTCTGCTTCTTCCTATTCCCCTGGGGTCTTCATTCATCTTGGTGTCTCCCTCTCTGTTCTCCCACTCTGGTCCTGATCTAGCTGGTACCTCCCACTCCCCTAAGCTCTGTTTCCCCTGACCCTTGCCCTCCATTAACTCCCACCCCTAGTTTGCTCATGTAGATCTCATCCATTTCTTTGGTTGGGTGATCTCTGTGTCTTTCTTAGGGTCCTCTTTACTAGGTAACCTCCCTGGAGTTGTGAGTTGCAGTCTGGTTATCCTTTGCTTTACATCTAGTGTCTACTTATGAGTGAGTACAGACCATGTTTGTCTTTTGGAGTCTGGATTACCTCACTCAGGATGATTTTTTTCTAGTTCCATCCATTTGCCTGCAGACCTCATGATGTCATTGTTTTTCTCTGTTGAGTAGTACTCCATTGTGTATATGTACCACATTTTATTTGTCCATTCTTCAGTTGAAGGGCATCTAGGTTGTTTTCATGTTCTGGCTATTACAAATAATGCTGCTATGAACATAGTTGAGCATGTGTCCTTGTGGTATGATTGAGCATTCCTTGGATATATGCCCAAGAGTGGTATAGCTGGGTCTTCAGGAAGGTTGATTCCCAATTTTCTAAGGAAGCGCTATATTAATTTCCAAAGTGGTTGTGCAAGTTTATATTCCCACCAACAGTGGAGGAGTATTTCCCTTGCTCCACATCCTCTGAAATGGCAAAAATATAGAAAAATATAAACAAGAATCAACTCAGGAAGATACAGATAGCCTACACCCAGTCAAGAAACTGAACTAATAACCAGAAAGCCTTTCCCTTTCTTTCCCCTTCCAGAAGTTTCCAAGACCTACATGGTTTACAAAGAGTAAACTGTCCATCATACCTACCTACATAAGTTACCTGCAGGGGACAGAGCCTGTTTCTAAACCAGGAAGAGAGCAGCTGAGTCACTCACTGCATGAGACTCAGCAAGCCTGCACATGGAGTGCCCCCGCATATTTTTAAGAGGGAAATGGCACAGTGAACACAGGCGAAAACATGCTAAAAGAATAATTTCATAAGGCATATGCATAGTCTGACTCTTTACCTAACGAAGTGAAGGGAGCACTTCCCTGTGCACAGCCTTGTTTTCCATCTCCAGTGCTGCCACAGGAGGGTGGGGAGGTGGTGATTGAGTTGATGACATAAAAAACCTAAGTCCCCATCAGCAAAGATCTTTTAGGAAACCGAATTAAAAGGGATATGGGATTTCCTTGATTTGATGAAGGGAAGATAATGAAAACCTTGAGGGAG